CAAAAGAAGGTATCGCCTGTCTGGCATTGTTGCTTGTTAGGCAGCCTTTAGCTGTGCATACAGACTCTTAAGAAATTATATTGGCCCCTTTAATCTTTGGTTATACTTTCCTTTTGGGTGTTTATGGCCATACAGTTGGCCCAGATGAACCAATTTATTTTTACTCCTAAGGTCATTTGAGGATCTGTTCCTCAGGGGTCACATGGGCTCAGGAGGAGCCCCTGGCTCCTTTCCTGTGGTAAAATTTTTAATAAATTTTAAAAATTTATTAAAATTTGGTGGTGGTGGTAGTGTTGATGATGATGGTGTTAATTCTTGTGGTGGTGCTCCTGCTGATAATAATGGGAGTAGTGAACATGATAGTGATAGTAATGATAATGATAGTGCTTATGGTGATGGTGATGACAGTAATAATGCTCATGGCAACAACGATAATGATGATGATGATAATGATAACAAGGTCAAATGATCATATCTGACATGCATACTATGATTCATAATTACATGCTGAATCTAACTAGTATTTAATATTTTTAAAACACATTTGTAGGCAAGAGGCATAGAAATATTTTTATCACTTATTTACTAAAATTAGCATATGTGTGCAGGCACCCAGAGAAAACAGAAGAGAGCATCTGATCCTCTGGTGCTAGAGTTACACGTGGTTGTGAGCCACCCAGCATGAGTTCTGGGAACTGAACTCAGGTCCTCTGCAAGAAGAGCAAGTGCTCTTAATGACTGAGCCATTTCTTCTGCCTCAGAATATATTATTTGTTCAAAATAATGGATTTTTATTAAATTTTCATATGTATAACATTTCATGCATGTATGCCATGTATTTTGCTCCCATTCACCTCCCATTGTTCTCTTCCATCCTCCCCTTTTCTCTCCCACTGGTTTCTTTCCTCTTCCCAAGTCCTTCTAATTTCTTGTCCTTTTTTTGACTTTTTGAGACAGGGTCTCCCTGTAGCCCCAGCTGTCCTGGAACTCACTATGTAGACCAGGCTGGCCTTGAACTCACAGAGATCCGCCTGCCTCTGCCTCCCGAGTGCTGGGATTAAAGGCGTGTGCCACCTTGTCTGGCTCTTATCTTAATTTTAAATATAGATTCTGCATATAAGAAAATTATGTAATATTGGTCTTTCTGAACCACTTACTTCACTTAGCATGATGTTGCACACTTCCACTCATTTTCCTGCAAATGGAATCATTTCATTCTTTCTTATAATAGTATAATACTCTATTTTGTCTACATGCCACATTTTCTTTGTCCATTCATCTGTTGCTGGGTAACTATGTTGGTTCTGTAGCTTGGCTATTATGAATAGTGCCAGAATAAACATAGATGTGAGGGTATCTCTTTGGTATACCTATTTAGAGTCATTTAGGCATACCTAGAAGATATCACTTATAATTTTGGCATGGGATTTTAGGAGTAAGTTTGAAGCCTTTTTCTCTATTTTTGAAGCCTGCATTTATGCCTGCAAAGTAGTTCCAGAATCCTCACCAACCAAGTACCCCAGAGAATTACTTCCAATCTGGTTGAGGTTGCATAACAGTCTAGGATCCTAATGACACACAAGAGCCTCTTTAGTTTTCCTAGAAAGCATCTATGAGGCTCGGTACAAGTGCACCTGGGTCATGACATTTTCTTAGCCTGCAGCCTCTGACTAGCAGCTGGAAAGCTTAGCAGTAAGTCTATATAGCAGTAAGGCTATAACAACCCGTATTTATTTCTACTCATTGACTTTGCACTACAGTGGCTTCTTGGTCAAAAATGTTGAAGTATGTGCCGCATAGCCTGTAAGGATCTCTTCTTCATATGTGTAAAGGAGAGGTTAGGTGATACTGGAATTAAGAGTATAAACTGCATATAGGTGACTTAAAATGTGGGTTTATCCAAGACCTGGGACATGGTCAGATCTCAGCAGAGATCAGTCAGCTGTCTGTTGATCCACTGGCTTACTGCTCTAGGCTTCCTTACATTCACCAAAATCTAAAATTGCTCATGTTCCTTATAAACAATGGCAAACTATTTTTGTATTACCTATGCACACCCCCAGTATGCCTTAAATGTTCTTTAGAAAACATAGAATACATAATATGAGTTTAATATATATTGTATGGCATTGTTTAGTGAATAATGACAAAAATAAACAGTACATGTTCAGTACAAACTCAGCTTTTTCAAAACATATTTTCAGTTTACATGTTGATGAATCCTTATATGCAGAAACTTGATACAGAGGGCTAACTGCACTATGCCATTTTATGTAAGAGACTTGAGGGCTGGGGCTAGGGGTCAGTTGATACAGTGCTTGTCCAGGATGCACAAAGCCCTATAATCAAACCTCAGCAGTCCAAATTCATGCCCGTCATCCCAGAATTTGGGATGTGGGAGCAGGAAGATCAGGAGTTTGTCATCATTGTTGGCTACATAGTGAGTTACAGTCCAGCCTGAGCTATGTGAATAAATAAATAAAAGAGACTTCAGCCTCCAAAGATTTTAGTGTCCTTTATGGGGTGGGAGGATAGGTTACAGGACCATTTCACTGATGGACATTAAAGAGCAATTATTGAGAAAAGATAGGATTCCAAATGAAGAAGAGATGGAAGTTGATATAATGGACACTTATGATCCAGAGGGACATGTGGTGGCCTTGTTGGGTCCCAGGAATAGCTTCAGGGGTAGCAGTATGGATAACAGTGAGTCATCATTGCAGCAAAACAGTTGGATGACAATTCACACAAAGGAATTAGCTGCTAAACCAAGACATCTATGACCATTGCAGCCTGTTCCTTTCACTCCCCCTTTTAAAGATCCCAACACACGGTCCAGGACAAAGAATTTTAGATCCGCTTATTTTCATCCACACTCCAGCTGTCGCCCAAGGCACTACTATCCCTTACCAAGACACCAGCTTTTCTGTAGAGCATCTCTACTCCCAGTCCTGCCATTGTGAAATTGGCCACACCTGTAGTTCTAGCTCAGGAGAGTAAGAGGGGCGGATCCAAGTTCAAGACTGAATTGGGCTAGATAAGGAGATCCTGTAACAAAAGAGTTTATGTATCAGATCATGTCACTTTCCTGGGTGAAACCTTTCTGCAAATTCTCACTGTTATAATAAAATCTACATTTTTCACTCTACAAGTCTCTAAACGACCTTTTCCTCCTTTCCTCCTTCCTTCCCTCCCCCCTCCTGCCCTCGTTCCAGTCTTTCCTTCCTTCCTCCTAACTCCTTCCTCCCTCTCTCCCTCCTCCCCTGTTCCAGTCTTTCCTTCCTTCCTTCTAACTCCGTTCCCCCTCCTCCCCTCTCCCCCTCCC